TTGTGAAGTAGTTTTTAATCAACAGACAGTCTCAACTGGAAGCGGGGCTGACACCTTGTTACCTTTAGAGAAGGATTTTTATTAATTATAGCACTAAGTACAGGAGAAATAGCCAGGATGACATGTACTAAAAAACAGCAGACAGGGTTCAAAAGCATTTCAGCATTTCCTCTTATGGGTTGTACTTGTGGTTGTCTGGAATTTTTTATGAGAAGGGTTCACTTTCACCTGATTTTATTGTTGCAACCCAAATTATTAAGGGATATTTTCTCCACAAGGCTGAAACTTGGGAGTATTTTAGAAACATCTGCTTTCTAAAATACCTCAGACATTTGTGAGCTGAAGGGAAGCTCTTTCAGTGTTTCATGGAGAAACGCTATTTCTACGTGGTGGAACGAGCTGTAAACATAGATAAAGATACAGATATAAATACAGAGGTAAAAAAATACCTGCAGCACATGAGTTGGTAGTTCTCAAAACCGATTTCTGCTGAGCTATTCCTGAAGTGTTGTGCTGAGCTGTCCCTGCCCAGGAGCCGTGCAGTGCAGGGAATGGAATTATTCATGTACATTAACATAACGTTAGTCAGGAACAGTGCTAATTGCTACATCCAGGACCCTTTAAGTTTAGCTTTTCCTAGCACAACACGGGAACTTTTAATGTACTACAACTCTTTTTAACCTAGGGAAACCCTCACAAAATGGCTCCCAGATATAATTTTGGCTCTGTGACAAGATTTTCAAACCCCAGTGTGCACAGAGGTGTTTGTCAGGAATCCAGACAAGGTGACAACGCATCTGGCAGTTTATTGCCATTTCTGGGCTGTTCCCTCTCTCATATTTTATTTAATAATTACTCATGGTCACAGAGCCACAGAATAATTTGGGATGGAAGGAAACTTAAAGCCCATCCAGTGCCACCCCTGCCATGGCAGGGACACCTCCCACTGTGCTGCTCCAATTCCCAATGTCCAACCTGGCCTGGGACACTTCCAGGGATCCAGGAGCAGCCACAGCTGCTCTGGGCACCTGTGCCAGGGCCTTACACCCTCACAGGGAACAATTTCTCTTTAATATCCCACCCAACCCTGCCCTCCATCAGTCTCCCCTTTTCCTGTCATTCCATGCCCTTGTCCAAAGTCCCTAAACAGATATTGCCCACCAGTCCCACTGCAGCAAGAGGCAAAAAGCAAAACAAGGGGCTCTCCCTGGCCCTCCTGCTCCTGTGAAAAGCATGGAAAGTCCCTGATGGAACAGAAGGGAGGACCGGTGAACCTGGAAGGAATCAAGAACTACAACAGTGAAATCAGAGTGACAAAAAACAAGAGGAGCAGGAGGAAATGGAAAGGAGAAGTGGGAATTTGTGGCTGGTCACAGGAGGGGCGCTGGAAGTACAGGCAGAATGGAGAGGGAGAAGGGAAGGAGCCCCACTCTGCTCTAATGAAAGATATTTACCAAAAAACCATAATAAAAAAATATCTGTAGCGACACCAGGTAAAACAAAGCTTCCCAAAACTACAGGAAAGGCTAATTAGAGGCAACTGGAGAAGTATCAGACTTCTACCCCCTACAATACCTACAAGAAGCAGGCAAGGAACAGATATTTCTGAGTTTTAGTGTTTGTTTAACAAATATCTGTGATCTATCTGCCAATCCACATCACGGGCAGCAAGGTAACAGCTTCACAATTGGACTTCCTAAAGTTAAATTGCCAGCAAAACATCCTTCCCTATGGGAATAAATCATGCAGATTCCATTTTCTTCATTTTCATGGTGGAAAAAGCCCACTCTTTATCCACATAACTCCTTTTTATCCAGTTTTACAGACCTCATGGGTGACTCCAGTTGCTCAGCAGCTTTCTTGCCGATTAATTATTGGTCAGTAACGAGTTGTTATTCTGTTTTCGTTGGTCAGTCAAACCCCGGAGTGCACGTGCTGAAAAGTTGTTTGTGAAGGATAGTTTTCATTTTTCTAACAGTGTAAAAACAGTTTATACAGGTGCTGGGTTTTTTTTTTCCCCAGGAATAGATTGTTTTGTTAACAAACTGCTGACACCAGGATTGCTTCCACATGGGAACTTGTAGAAGCTGCCTTGACAAGACCAGCCAATGATTCCAGGAGAGCAGGACTGATTTTATGAAGCCTTTCTTTATGGTTTTTCTACCTTACTGTCAGGTTTCTCCCCTCCCAGCCTCTTGTCAGAGCACACTTTGCTCCTCCTGCTAGGCTGGGAGCTGCAGCACTCCATGGGAAACAGGGATCTGGTTATAAAATATATAAAGGGAGGGATTATTTTTTTTTTTTTCCCCTGGCACTTAATTAACTTGTAAAGGAGGGTTTGGAGCCCCTCATTCCATGCCCTTGTTGTGCTCAGAGCCTTTTCCAGTGGGGGCCTTGTGGCTGCTCATCAGGAGATTTTGCTGAGAGACAGAAACATCCAATTTGTTGTTCCTTGTGTGTCCAGCCCCCAGGCTGGCTGTGTTTGGGCAGCTCAGCCAAAGATCCCTGGGTTAGGAAATTGTTCTCTGTGTGTGGGAAGAAGAATGTGGATTTTATGTTGACAAAAAAAGCCTCTCAAAGTTGTTTCTTTTTTGCTGGAGGGACAATCCCAAACTTGTGCTGTGGATGCTTGAACAGATGTGCCACAGCCAGGGCACCTCAAGGGCAGCACCCAGAATTAGCTCATGTCATTAAAGGGGTTTTTCGTCATCTGCTCAGGAATAACCACCTGCTTTTAAAAAAATCTTCAAACAACGACAATTAATACACTAAAAATCAAGGATTAGAGTCAATATTTAATGACTGTATTACAGAGCAGGGAGAATTGGATCAACTGAAGGTGGCAGGACAGTGGAAAAAATAGAAACTTATTTTGTAATGAAAGGTGAAGTCTAAGAGCAAAAAGCCCTGTGATGTGATTTTAAATCCTGTGAGTGACTTTCCAGGCTGAATTGAGTGGTTCTGTGTGGGATGCTGCTGCTCTTTCCATACACATTTTCTATTTCTGGCATAATACATAAATCAATGTCACAACAGAAAGGGAAAATGATGCACACTTAAAGCAAAACATAAAATTACCTCCTTATCAGCTATCTCCTTCTTAGGTATTATTTAGAAAGCGCAAAATAAAAGAGCAGAGATGTTTTGGAGCTGCCTGCAGCACAGGAAGAGAGGAGACAGATTTCACAGAGATGAAATCTCTGCACTCACAGGTGGTGATCAAACACCTCTGAGCATCACCTTTGTGCCTTCTGCTGTCAGGAAATGCAGAATTCCTCTTCCTTGGACAACAGAGGACAAACCCACTTCAGGATTTGCTTCCCACCCTGCAGAGAGAGCAGAAAATACCTTACCTCCAGCTGAAGTCTGGTGAGAATGACAACTCTGACTTTGCTGTGGTTTCCTGGGACACCTCACAAGGAAGAATTTGGAAAGCATCATTTGATAGCTCAAATATGAGCTTTAATAAATTGCCTGATTCTCTGGGAATTCTTATTGTGATGGGGACAAATAGATAAGAGCCCTTTTTTTGCAATTGAAATTCCTAGATTTGTACTATTCACCTAATCTCTTGTGGATTTTGTTGGAATCTGAGGTATTGATGATTCTGGGATTGTAGAAAGTCTCTGT